TTGCTAATAGACAGGAATAGACAGGAATTCAAGAGCTTAGCCTGCACAAATTTGCCAATTCACTACAAACAAACATACACACACCCAGTATAAAGCTAGTACTGCACATATAAACTGAAGTGGCACAGCCAGAACAACTAAAGCAGAGCCACTGTTATAATCCATTTTAGTCAGCCAAATAAAGAGTGCAGAGACACAGGTCAGTCTTTCAATATGACTCACTGTGAGCTACAGGAAAATAAACACACTACTAGTTCAGGGGCACCAAAGAAGCCTTAGGTTATTCTTTTTTTTTTCCACTTAAAATTTTGGTCTGTTGCAATCTGAAAACTTTACCTTCAACTCTGGCAGTTTAGGCTAGGTAATTTTGAAAACACTGTGGCATTTTGACTGTACTGCATTGTTACTGGAAACATGAAGGAAATGTGGAGAAAAAGACAGCAGATTAGACTTGATCACAGGGTCAGAATTTACTTGTTGTTCCTCATACAAGACTAAACATAAGATTAAGACTGAGAAGGGATGGCAACTTTCCATCCGAGTCACCAAGACTGTGGAATAGTTTCCTACTGCAGCTACTTTTAGCTGATTCTTTGAACTCTATGGCAAAGCAGTTAAAACGTTTTTGTTCCTATCCTATAAATCCTATTTCTGCTACTGTACTTAAGAGTCCCAATGCAAAGTTTTCTGCCGTCCACAGACCAAACCATGATAAAACAAGAGCTTCTTACACAGCTGGGTTAACACATTTAAAAGAGGAAGTAAATAAAACCACAAAATAACCATGAACTTACTGGTATATAGTAGGAAGTGAAGTGATGATGAATCGCCCGCTCAAACCTTAGAAAGGGGGGGAGACAAGTACACTAAGTGACAGACATGTTGAAGTGGTCTTCAGCTACAGACCAACATTAGTATTAACACCTTACAAGAGGCTGGAAAAACAATGACTGACTGATTGCAGAGTTGCCATATCACTGCCAAATCTGTAACAACATCCTTTCAAACACAGAGAGGTTTCCTGAACTGACCTGAAAGCTTTGTTTCATGTGTACAAGTCATTGTGTAGTTGGTAAATGGGAGCGGTCATTCAGACCCACCTGGCTGCTCTGTCACATCCACTTTTGCTATGTTGACCCCCATGTCCTCTCCCCAGTCCGCAAACTCCTTCCACGCTGGTTGGAGTTGCTGGCACGCTGGACACCAGGGTGCGTAGCTGATGGAGATCAAGTTTCACAAAGAAAGATGCAAATCAGGAGCACAATCATCACTTTCACCGTGCAGATAACCACTAATCTACGAGCTATTATGAGTCTGTTATTTAGCAAAGTGAACCCCATGCAACTGATGTAAGCTGGTTAGCTAAAAATAGCAGCTGTTAGCAGAGCTGAACAATTTGAATTTATCCTGACTACAGGTCGGAACAAAAGATAACAATTAAATAAAACTAATGACCGTTGCCTTTAGACGGCTGGACTCGTGTTTATGGGAGTTTAAAAATAAATCTAGCTGACTAGTTGTGAGCACCGGACGTTAGCAAGACACTGACAATTCAATCATCCATTCCCCAGTCAGGATCTCCTCCCAGTTAGCATCCGTTACTTCTTTGAGACTGTTCGGCTTGGCCAAAACTGGCGACGTTATAAAGCATATTCCCAGCAGTGAAAAGTATATCCATGACTTGTGCTTCGTTTGCAGAAGTAAAGAAAACATGTTTGAGCCTCTGGTGCTCTTGGGTGCTACTGCTGCAGCTAGCTAGCAAACACGCCGTGGCTAACTTCCGCTGTGCGCGTAAACGTCACCGGTCAGCTGACGATTCAAATTATTTTTAATTAATTTTTCTCCAAAATATAGGTGGAACCATACATTTTGTTTGTTTTGTTTTTTTTACTTTTATAATTTCCATGTTTATTTTATATCTTAATATTTAGATTTATTTATAAATATTTAAAATGTATATTTATTTATATATTTAAAATATATTTAATCTGATCAATTTATAACTAGAACAGTTAGTAATACCTGTTTTTATGTTTTTATTTAAGTATTTTTTTTTTATTTCATGAATCCTCCTGGCTTAACTTGGCAAATACACTGGATTTTTCTTCATTATTCCTTTTGTGTTTTAAAAAATTAGAAGCATTAAAGGGGAGCTGAAATGTGCTTATTTACCTTATATTTTTTCTCGTCACCCACGATCTTGTTCTACTTCCTCCAGCTGCTCGCTTTTGGGGTTGGCACAACTCCTCACTGGGGTCCATCTCACCAGCATCCTCTTCTGTCACACCATTCCTCTGGATGTCCTCCTACGTCCATGGACTTCTCTGCGGCCATCCTCTTTTATTCCTGCCTGCACCTCTCTTGTCCACTGTCTGTTACTTCTCCACCTTCACTACTTTCACTCCTTTCCATCTTTACTGTTACACCTGTCTCCTTCTCTTTCACATTCATGTATTCTGTGTTGTCTCTGCTGACTTTTATTCCTCTCCAGGCTCTCTTACCCTTGCTCCATACTCTCACTATAGATCACGTCTGTGAACATCATAGTCCAAGGAGACTTCTGCCTAACTTCATCTGTCAGCCTGTCCATTACCACTCCATACAAGAAGGGCCTCAGAGCCGATCCCACCCCCTTCTTGAACCAGTCTGTCACTGCTATTGCACATCTCAATGCTGTCTTGCTGTTCTCATAAATGCACCAGCCCTCACATGCTTTTCCGCCACTCCTGACTTCCTCATGCAGTATCACAGTTCCTCTTTTGGCATAATGAAGCTCCTGACCTTATAATTCTGCATCAACACTCTCAAAGTTTAAAATATTCGTGTTTTGTTGTTAAGTAAACGCCAACTACCAGCAGGTGGTGCTACTGTTTTTTTTTAAAAAAGAAAAAAAAGGGGGGGGGAGAGAGAGAGAGAAAGAAACTGCAGCTCTTGTAGTAATGTGGGTTTGGACTTACTGCCTACCTCTTTCTCTGCATTTTTAAAAAACATTTTTATTAGCTGTAAACAATAATTTATCAATTATTACTGAAAAATGTATAGATCTAAGTATTACCTAATGATTAAATCCATCCTACTGCCAGACTGGTCGAAAGCACTGGACTAATAAGTACTAATATCTCAGTACTGACTGTTGCTAAAGCAATTTGGTACAAATTACATCACAAGAGGCTTTAAAAAAATGAAAACAAGATATATGACTGTTTCCCCAGACAACGCTGATTTGACCTAAAGATAAAAGACACCTTCCTGTCTTCAAATTCATAAATGTCTTATTGAAGCCTTTTAGAGAGTTCACGTCAAGAGATTAGGCTCTGCATTCAAAACATTCTTGTGTTTAGCTATTTCGTTTAGTGGGTCGTGAGCCAAATACTATTATATGCTTCAAAATGCTCCAGAAAAGACTGCTTGTGCTTTGCAACCACAGAAGGCAAATGTTTCCCATCTATAAACCAATGTGTGTGCGTCTGAGCCAGTCCTCTTCCCCTTCATGAGAGGATGTCACTCAGAGTAAACCCCAGAATGAGAGCACTTATTATTGTTGGGAACCTGCAGGCAAATTGCAACAGCTTCTAGTTATCACTGCACCTCACGCTCTAAAAATACCCGCCAGATGACATCCTTTTGTGCCCCTACTATTGTCCCCTTTCTCCAGCCATCGGCGCTGCTCCACTTACAAGGTTTAGGATTTCTTAGTCTGCAACGGTATTTAGTTTGGTTCACACTCACGTTTAGGTGAATAGTATTTTGAGTCATTTTTTTTTATTAGATAAACACACAATCCAAAAATTGTTGGTTACAAGTCAAGCTCTGAGATTTCTTCTGTGTCTCAAGCAACAACAGCACCAGTAATTTTCCTGGATCATGGATTTATTAAGAACACCGAATGCCAGGCAACCTTGCTGCCAGCCTGCCCCATCGGTCATTTACCAGATTACGAGAAATATACATATTTTTGCCAAACAGTGCAATTATATTGCATCAATATAATGTTTTTGGAGTTAATGCCTCCATTTGATGACAGGTTAAGCCTGATGGAGCCTTGTTTTTAGCGCTGTTTATTTTACTTGGGCAAAATGACTCCAGGTCAGCCATGGCTGCTTTTCCATAGTGCAAAGATATGCTGTGTTTCCTTATCTGGAGAGTAAACTTCAATTTTATGCTATCCATCTGTTGCTCCTGAGCAATTATTTCTGCAAATGGTCTCCTCACAATTTTCATAACATGAACAGGACACTTGCAAATATAAACAAGGTCGATTTTTACTCTTTGTATTAAGAATTTATATTGAAACTCAATCCCGTAGAGTCTCTCATTAATCCTCTTCTTTAATGTTGTTTTGTTTCCTGTTACCTTCTTTGTCCTTCAGCGTGATTGACAGGGAGGGTACGCACAAACACTACCTGGTTTGAAAGCTAACAGCTGCAGTAATATATATAGACTACACGCTGATAATCATGTTGGTTGAATTTGAATGTTTATAAAAAATTGAAAACTTTCACAAAATATTTTACAACACTTTCAAAACTTTGTACATGAGGTAAAATGTGAAATGTAAAATCCACTTTGGCACCCGTTCTGCAGCATCGACAAGTGTAGATATTTGTCTTTCTGGCAGCCATAATTTTCTCCTTCTTTCCTTTTACCTACATGCTCCTGCAACTCTACTTCTGTGTGGATGTAAAGGGCATCGGTGCTTCGTTTTATGTGCAACTGTGCTGTCACGAAGCTCTCAGACTGTCCACGTGATAGCTAATGGATTTCAGTAATTTCAAGAGTGAGAAGTGGCACAGTGTGGGAGTAAGGAGGAAGAATATCCTCTCAAACCAGCTACGCAACACACATGTGGGACAAGTTTCTTTGGGTTTTCCGTGTCGTTCTCAAACTCCATATTCAACTTTGCTTGTTCCACTTAAATATTGTAATTCAATGTTTCAGTTATCTCTAAAGACAAGCTGACTGGTGATGTGTCCTCGTATTGTTTAGTTTTTTCAGCACTCTTCTTTACAGTTAAGCATCAAGTTTTTCACCCACAATTGTGGAGGCATTTTCATTGCATTCAGTGAAAATACCTTTGCTTTTTCTAAGTATTTGTAGCTGATAACACAACACTCATAAATGCATTAATGTTAGGATTGCTTTGTGTGTATTACAGCATAGGAAGGTCTGCTTAAAACAACTTTTTTTTTTTGTTTGGTTCAGTCATTCAGCCCAAAAAGATATTATTTTTTGCCAGTTTTCTTTGATAAACCCAAAGACATCGAGTTAATCTAATAGATCCTTTTCTAATTCCCACAATCCTGGGTTGTATAAGCAAAGGAATGAAGGAAGGAATGATGGATGAATGGATGTTTATTTAAAGCTATCTGAGAACTACCTGGTCCTTGTTATTGCCCTCCCACCCCCATCATCTGTAGTAGTATATTTGTTCCTGCGACCCCTCTCTAAGGTGTTCTGTCAGCAAAATTGGAGACAAGGTATTTCACAGCTGATAGATGAATGGCACTAGACATACTTGCGAGTAGCAAAGCCCACTTTGGCAATTACATCTCAATACCAGCTGGTCCAACATCCCCTTCAACATCTGGAGCCACTGGAGCGCTCCTAATCACCTGTGAGAATTTATATTTTGCCCAATGTCCTCTCATAAATCTTACTCACTGTCACAGCGAGCACCTCCTGTGACTCACTCTCCAGGGATTCACTACCAACTCCTCGGGCAGCATGACAGCCGTTTACTGAACTGATAATATTAATAATTTAAGTCGGTAAGGTGAATCAGAAAGATGCTTATTGCATTTTAAATTTTTGCCATCATTAAAGCCAAAACCCCTCCGTTTTTATAAAGTGACACAATAAAGCCTTCAAATTGTCTTCAAATCACAGTAAAGTCAAAGCTTACATTTAAAATTTTGTTTTATGGCTTTTAGAAACTTCTGTCAGTGAGTGATCAGCTTAATTCGTGTGCCATCAGTGAGTCGTGTGTAAAAAGGGAGCTGAGGTGAGATAAAGTAGATTTTTTTTATTATTTTCTACCAATTTTTCTTCCTTTTACATTACACTTTTATGAGTTTTCTTCCTCAGTGTAAAATCCAAACTACAGTAATTGCCTTTGTAACTGAAATAGCATCTCCTGCTCCTCTCACAAGAGCTATAAATCACTTTTCATATCACTCTTCATACCCCAACCACACTAAATACAGCATAATATCTTTTCTCATTTGCAAAACCCAGTACACACAGTCTGTGCAGCCTTCAGGTCAGCAGCCTACAGAAGTGCCAAAGTGTCAAGCTACTGAACTCTCCAGCCAGTGATTAATGAGTTCCATTCCTCCTCAGGTGCCATTCGGTTGTCATTTGTTTTCTTCTCTGTGTTCCCTGCAGCTCAATCCTGAATTTAACCTGCTTGCCGCATTTGGATGTGTTGCACATTGCATGATAAATGATTTGTTTTTCTGATGGTTTGCATTAATTACACTCCTCAGATAAGCTCTTCGAAGTGCAATACTAATTAGCACACAGTTCTCTGAAACCAGCTAAAGGTCATTAACTTTGGAAGAACTTGGTGGATTTTATGCTGTTAAAAATTGCTATTGGAACCCAATTCTGAAAAATGTAAAAAGCTGTTCCTAAATGTGACGTATGACCACGAATTCAGGAGTTAAAGGACCACGCAAAATAGTGAACGCACCAGCGTGCGACGCGATATGTTGTAAACGACATTTATGAAGCACTGCCAGCCACCCAGGCAGAGACAGGGATGACTTGATTTTTACCACAGCCTGTCT